TAATTAATAATAATTAATATCAATAGCAGGGAAGTATGTAAAAATGATGTAAAAAGAAATAGTCAAGTTTAGTCTGAAAATACTGCCTGAAATTTATAAATATACTTCGTCCAGTCTCTAAAATCCCTAAAATTGATAAATATGCTGTATTTTCAACAAAAAATTTAATTTAAACAACAAATTGCAATTACTTTTTTTCTCGTATGACGAGTATACTCGTTATTACATAAAAAAATTGCCATTTTTTTTGTGACGAATATGCTGGTCATTCGTAGCTAATAGTTAAGAACTGTGCCATAACTTTCGTGCAACATTTTTCGCAATACGCGGAATACACGAATGAATATCACTGGAATGTAATTGAAATGTGCACAATTTGTTCATCGAGCTTGTAAACAATGATGGTAATTGTACAATTTTATTTCTAACACGCGCGTAAAATCGAGTATGACATTTTAAACGTTTCTGCAAATTACCTCCTCGAAACGGAATCCAAATTAGAGGGACAGTCGATTAACTTCACGGTGCGTGACGTTATACTGCTGCACATAAACATATTCCGTACGCGTTCTATTACTCGTGTTATCGTTTATTATAATATTACGTCTATGTAGAGATGTGTGTAACATTGCGTTGTTATTATTCTGCTATTATAATTAACTGGGATTTTAATTCATCTATTGGAGATGATGAACCTATCATTCGGAGTTAATCAAGGAACAAGTGAAAACATAAGAAATACGGATACCGAAGAAACAAAATCCCGAATATTTCGTGTTTCTATTGAAAAAACTTGCACTTTATTAGTACAGATTTCATTTGTACGACCTCAAAAGAAATTTTGTTGCCATTATCGTCTGATTTTCTTCGAGATACGATTCCGTTCTTCTAATTTTTCCTACATTTAAGTCGCAAAATTCTTGAAACAGAGATACCTCGAGTGTTTTTCTAACTCAGTTTTATGATTCTTGAAATTTAAGAAACGGATTCATTCAGACTATAAGACTTGCAATCTAGAAATTGCAATATCTAAGTACAAAACATCTCTCTTTCTCTGGAATAAAAATATTATTTTTTTATGAATATGCTGTCCTACTTCGAATTAAATTAAATTAAAAATCCTCAAGACATTTGAAAACTTCTGTCATAAACGTTAATGGATAGCGATCGACCCAAATATTGCCAAAATTTCGTCGTTAAGCGACGCACGACTGGTTGTACTTTTAGATTTTTGTTTTCGAGTTTCATTAACGTGAAGAATGTCTATGAATAATTTGTTGCAAAAAATTCTTGCGTCCGATAAGAATAATTTTAAAAAGCAACCGTAAAAAAAGAGTAAAACGGAAGTATGTACATGTACAATAAACCAATTAAACAATAAAAATGATAGGGAGAATATCTATGAATATCTAAGAATAATTTCTTTTCGCGCGATAAGAAGAAGCAATCGCGAGAAAGAAAAAAAGAGAAAGTACGTACGTGTACAATAAACCTATTGAATATTAGAAATGATATATATCTAGTGCATTTCATCTTCGAATATAAAAATTAAAAAAGAAAGAATTGTTTTTTCTAAAAACTGTTTAATAACCAATATGACGAATTTCACTTAAAAAAGAAACGGAAAGTTTCTTTCTTTTTTTTT